AAGGTGTGGCTAACCTTCTCTCACATCCCCTTGGCAAAACAAGAATCTACTTGCCTCCTAACCTTGTATACTCTCTATGCAGTTAAAAAATTTGGGATACACCTGAAAATCTGCAGAGCTGTCTGCTTGAAAAAAGCAACACTGAATGTGTCCTGGTAACAAGTCTTGAGTGCATTCAAAGCCTGCTCTACCGTATCCCTCTGGACCATAGAGCTCCTAAACTGTCAGCCTGACTTTCCTGAAGACAAAAATACTCACAAGAGCACAAAATGTGGATATAGTCCCTAACAAATGCTTTATTCCCTCCCATTTGAGAAACATTTGCTACCAGCTAACTTGCGCTTTTGATAGATAAAACTGATTAACTTTTTTTTAAAGAACGTAACTTTATTATGTAAATAACGTAGCGCTATCTTCAGTAGGAACCAGTGGGGTTGGGGGTTAATTGCCATAAACAGAGGGGAAGTCAGACAGTATAGAGAAAACCACAGATTTGTGTAGCGAAACAAAAATTAACTGCTTCTTCTTTAAGCAATTAGACAAAACAGCTCCACACATAGAGCTGCTACGAGAACACCATGACAAAAGCAGGAGTCTTGCAAAACAAAAACAAAAAAAAAAGAGCATCACAGCTTACCATTTTGTCAAGCCTCTTTAGTTATATCCGTTCAGGATCATTTGTTGTAAAGCCTAGCAATGCTGCATCACCTTTATGGGCCAGTGTGCTCCATCCACCTCCAGTACAGACATACCCCTCGTTGTTTTGAACACCTTTTTGTCAGTTTCAGACATCAGCTGACACAGCAGGAGCCACACTGTATACTCCTGCTTTAAGAAGGAGTGATTCTCAGTTTCATCACTGACACAATCAGAGATTCTTTCACCTTTTTATCTCCAAAAGCAAGAGCTCAGCCTCTGATTTCAACTGAAAGTAATTGTTCTTTTGCTACAGCATGCAAGCCTGCTCTATAAATCCTGTGTCTTGTGTTTTTCTTTGAGAAAGAAAAACAGGAAGCAAGAGGGGAGAAATTTTCAATTTCCATTTTTTGGTTCAAAGATGTCGTCCCATAATTTTGCCGTAATTTGACAGATTACTGTTAAGTCTCCATAGACACATTATTCATCAAATGTTACATAACACAGCATCCTGAGCAGGGCAGACAGCCACAGTAAGACAACAGCAGCTGCCATCTAAAAGGCAAAGACTCAACAACCCACATTAACTTTCTAGCTAAAGTCCCTTTCTTATCTAATCTCACAAACATGAATACCGGTCTTATCCTGCATAGTAGCTTGCTGGAGCTTTGCAGGGTCAACAGCTAATTAGCGTCCTGGTTGCAGCACATTAATCAGCATGTTCATTGGTTAGAAGGGGCGGCTGTGGCTCCGGCAATCCACCAATAGCAAGGTTCATGGGTCAATCCCCGGCTCCTCCACGTGCCAGAGTTGCTTCTGAATGGCAGACTCGTGCCTTGCATGAGTGTGTGAATGGGTGAACGAGAAAACATATTGTAAAGTTCTATGGTTAAGAGGCGTTATATTGGTGTGGAACTTTTACTATTTACATTTATGAGGATGATTAATTGTTAATCGGTTACCAATTTATTACAATATATTGCGGTTATTGTGGCCATAATCGTTCAGTTTGAGTCGGTCGTATACAAATATACATAAATATAATTAAACAGAAAGATGATGTTGGCCAATAACAAGTACTCTCTTGGAAGAGTCATATAACTGTTGCCACCACAGGAGGCAACACGACTAGTTTGTTTTACGATTTAAATCGGCACCACAAAGCTCTGTATGATGAGTCCAAAGTCACATCTGAATGCCATCCAAAGCAAAAAACTATTTCAGGTGTCTTTGCCAATGTTACAATATATGAGAAACAGTTCTAAGCGATTCATATTCAAAAAATGTATGCACTTCAGAAAGTCATTATTCAACTTTTTCTCAATTATCATTTTTGATTTTCTACACAGATACATTTCAAAAATGACCCGATCATTTTAGAATCATTCATTCTTTCCAAATAGTTATTCAAGTCATCTGGTGAAAGTTTTTTAGTGTCACTATTAATATCAAAGAAAAATAATTTATTACACTATCATAAATCTCTAGTGGGTACACCTAATTGTCTATTGCATTAAACTTACCATCTTTGGATTTTAAATAGTTAGCCAACCAGTATCACAATAAAACATGTTAACTTGGGCACTGGAAACCTGTGATGGACTTGTTACCACATTCTGACATATATGGTATCTGACATTTTCACTAATAAGGAAAATAATGGACGGACAGACAGCAGTAGCAGTGTTGTCGTATTTGCTGCCATACATCATCTTTGTTTGGATTTACAAGAAGATACAACAAGTGCTGATACGCCAGAGTCTTCCACATGAGTGCTCCAACACATATGCTTGCATAGCTTTTCAGATACAGTGCTTTCATTCAGATCACATTACACTAAAACAGAACAACGTAAACACCCGAGTTTGACACATAATGTGAACCTGGTTCCGGTCAAACTGTGAAACAGCATCACAGACTACCCCACGTGTTTGTACTCTTGTTTGCACTTTGATGTGGAGCCTGTCAATGTGGCCGTGACAGTGACAGTGTGTACTCAGCAGTGTACACAGCTCTGTCCACACTAACTTTCACAGCAAAAGCCCCTCAGCAGACAGTAGCTCAATCACCGGCTCACAGTCACTCGGCTCCGTTGACAACGCCAACTCAACTTTATGTAGCATCCTGTCAGCCATGTTTCTATTCATCTCCAAACTTTGTAGAAACTCAAGCATAACGTTACAAAACTTGCAAAACTAGCGCTGGTGGCTGGCTAGCTAGCTCGTTAGCAGCCGGTGGAAAGACATGGAGCAGAGAGTGTACCTGGTACTCCATTCCTGGTATCTGAGGAGCCGTCTTGGTGCTGTAGTACCTCACTGAAAGACTCGCCGACTTGCACACCCAGTCCCGCTTTCGGAGCCGCGCGGCAAACCCGGAGCCCCGCTGCCACACGCGCGACATGCACACCATCATGGGCGCCGAGCTGTCATAGGAAGCGGCAACCAAATATGGGAGGCTCCATTCAAATACGTCATGACGTCAGACACCGCCCCTCAAATCCAATTTCTATGAGTTTTTAAAAATAATTTATTTAGTTTTATTGACTATGGAACGCCGTTTTGGTTCGTATTAAATAACAAATATCCCTATCAAATAAATAGATATGGCTATGAAATAAATAAATATGACAAAAATAAGTCCAAAAAGAAAGAAATTGAATTAATTAAGTAGTTCATTAAAAAAGAATCCCTTTCAAAATGTAAACATATTTATTGAATTACTATAATTATATATATTAGTAAGGTTAGGAAAAGATAGATCTTTATTTATCCCAAGTGGAATGCTTCTGCCAGATATTGCTCAGAAGAAATTCCAGTACCATGAGTATAAAGTGTCTAATAGAATAGCAATAAGATTAAAGTCCTGTATATTAGTAAAGAAAAAAAAAAATAATAATAATAATTTTTAAAAAATTAGAAATTAGACAGCTAAAATAAAAGTAAAATTGAAAAAATGGAGAAGTAGTAAAATAATATTCCTCATGATATTGAAATATTGCACACAATACTTAAACTG